CAAAGGGAAAAGACCCAAAAAGGCAATGCGGAGGTGAAGAGGAGGGCGAGGAGGAAAGTGAAGGTATCTTATAAACGAAGAACAGGGACCTATGGTTGGCTACCAGACCGACGGACGTGACGGCATAAGAATCTACCTCCGCAGCAAATGTACCGGTACGCGGGGGAGAAGGCGTACATAAGGAGGAATAAGAAGGAATAATTAAAGATGAGAGGATGTTCTATCGTTGTCAGTCCGTACATATACACATCAATGTGCTTCGTAGGTATGTCATAGTGCGAAGGGTCGTACTGTCCCATTTTCGCCTTTCCATTGCGGGGCTACATCATCCCCTATGGTTCAATGTCCCTTCCTCTCCCTTTCTCCTGCCCCCGTCCGAGTTTGACCTGGATACTGGGGAGCAGGTGCCTGGTGATGGTCAGGTGTTTGTGGAGAGCAGGTGGAGAGAAGCGGTAGCGTTTGCTGTGGTTGGCTGGGTGCCTCGTCCCCGCACTAACCGTTGGAGATGGGGTCTGGAGATGGAACAGAGCACGAAGTACCTACCTATCCCGTCCGGAGTAATATGTACCTACCTAGTACAAGTGACAAAGCCAGAAGCCCTAGAATACCGTGGAAGAACTTCATCGGGTGGAGATCATCGCTCCCATTGTCTCGGTCTCACTAAGGTACCTGTCACGGGCAAACCACTTGGAGTCTCTTGACAAAATGTTCCGCCGAAAACTCCTTAGGAGTAATTAATTACATAGTGATGTAGGCGGTTATATAACTTCTGCAGCATTAAGGGAAGGTTGATACTAGGTAGTCAGATCGACTACGCGCCTCGGTATTATAAAGTATCCCGTAACACTTCGTACTCCATTGGTAAACAAGTCCCAGGCACAGGACGACTGCTCGCGAGAATCACCCAAAGCAGACACCAGTATAACTTTCCAGGGACATCATGCCAAGCACGAAGTATGAAGTCATGACTCCACAGTCATCCACTCCCTACGATGTACCACTTAGGGTTATTACTTTGTCGGTACCGGAATCGTCGCCGTTGTCGTCCTTATGGTGGTCGTTCCATGGTCGTGGTCGTGGTCGTCCTTGTTATTCGTAATATTATTTAATAGGGGGTAAAGCATATAATATATTCGGGCCTTCAAACTCGCGTCGAATGCTTTCGTTTATGGGTAGTAGTGGCAGTATTCTCAGACATCCCTAAGAAGAGCAAAGGACGCCTAATACGTCCGCCCTTGTTTGCATACACGGAATACAGTGCGTCCACAGTGTAATAAGTAAGCCGAAAACCATTAAGAAACAAGCAAAACCGGTGATATAGGCGAAAATCCAAACCATGCAAATGTAGGCGGGTGTATGTTGGCGGAATAGGGCGGCATTAGGAATAACGCAGCAATAACGAGCGGTGTAAGTCAAGGTAAGATGGGGTCCGCGGGGCCGCGAAGCGTTGAACAACCAGCAGCCTTTATTCCAGTGAGCCGTGGTCCGCCTATCGCAGAAGAAGTCTGCAGGAGGAGGGCGTCGTGGAGTACGCTTCGTTGGTAGTCGCGTAAGACCGGTTGGCCCACGACACGGACAGAAGGACAATCTAGGCGGGAAACCATCGTCTATTTATTGTACAACTCTCTCTAATTGGCAGGTCTACAACCTCCCACATCTAGGTCTCTGCCCTATGCTGCGATCTATGCAAGCGCAAAGCAAAGCCGTTTCGGTCGTCCAAGAGAAAAAGGAAAAATGTAGCAACTCAGGGGGACAAAGGGGTATCTAGCCAGGGTGTTTTCCGGACGAGTTCCCCATCCTCAGAGAGCCGACCGTTCCATGCCAGAGAAAACAGAATAACAAGCAACAAGCCATATAACCAGAAAAAAAAAATAGGACACGCAGTCCCCCGTCTCCGACGCCGAAAAGGCAATGCTTGGTTGCCGATGCGAGCTCCTTGCTCCTTGCATGGGTGCGCATCGTTCGAAGTTCTTATTACCGATCTGCGCGCCGTCGTTGGCCCCCTTTTTGTCCCCACTGCCATCTCTCCCATCGAAGAGAAGACCCCAGTCCACTTGCTTGTCATTGCCAATCCCTCATGCGTCTTTTTTTTTTTTTTTTTTTTGGTGCGTCTACCGTCTATATTCCACATCTTCATCTCGCTGACTGCGGACGTCGTCCCGGAGAAGATCGCGGCCATTCATCTCGAGAAAACGGTCATTATTTCGCGAGCTCTACGCCAGAACTGGCTCCTGCCAAAGCCTTGAATCTGCATGAACAAACCGTGGGTCAGCAAGAGTGCGAAACGGACCGGCCACATCGGGATAGCGATGGGGATGGGAATGGCAACCAGGAAACGGCAGAAAGACCAATATGTGGGGAAGGAAGGACGCGAGCGAAAACATACTTTCCGTAAATGGCGAATTGTCCCGCAGTTAAACTGCCAACCATGAAGAGACGGGCAGGCAGGCCGGTGAAAGAGCCGCGGAGGCCGAGCTCCTTGCCGATCTTGATGAGGCGGCTGGTGGTGCTCTCGCCGGGGAGGCCCTTGGTCTTGTTGATCTTGGAGAGCATGGTGTCGGCGGGCTGGGAGATGACAGCGGCAGCGAGACCGGCAAGGAGACCGGCGGACAGGTTGACGACGGTGTTGGCGCCGTCGGAGAGGGTGTTCTTGGGGTAGACGCGGTAGATGGCCTCGGCGGCCTTTTCGTAGACGACGAACTTGGCCATGGTGTAGGGGATCCTGAGGTTGTTGAGTTAGCGTTGTCTGACAACAGGGGACGTTACAAAAGGGGGCGGAAGAGAGAGAGCAGAGAGATGTGTGCAAGGTTACTCACTGCTTGAAGCAGATGGGGCCGAAACCGGCGTAGAAGGCGCCAATACCCTCATTCTTCAGGATCTTGGAGAAGCCGCCAATGAGGCCGTTGGCGTACGTGGGATCAGAGACGAGACGGATACGGGTGGCCTCAAGGGGGCAGAGGGCAATATCGGCGAAGAACTCGGCGAGGGCGGAAGAGCCGAGGTAGACGGCAGTGCGGTACTGGGACGCGGTCTCGAGGCCGAGGAGGTTGATGTTCTGCTGCTTGAAGAACTCGTAACCGCCGAATTTCAGGGCGCCCTGGACGAAGTAGCCGGCGAAGGTGGGACCGAAGCCGGTAAGCAGAGCACCGGCACCTTCACTCTGGATGACCTGCTTGAAGCCGCCGATCATGCCACGGTTGTACTTGGCGGGATCGAGCTGGATGCGAGTCTTGACGCTGGACAAAGGAAGGCAGACGTCAGCAATTGCGTTACTTGTTGCGTTACTCTCACACGGTCCTGGTCTCCAGTTGACGCTCTTTCCATGTGCCGATCCAATTGATGGATTGGTAGGGAGTCGGGAGATAGCGACAGGTAGAATGCAAAGAGATGGAACTTACACATCGACGGGAGTCAGGGCACCGTGGGTGATGGAGCAGCCGAGAGCACCGGCAAGCGCGAAGCGGGCGTAGAGGTCAACGCCGGTGCGGGTGGGAGTAGGGACGGCAGCAGCCGCCTTCTCGATGGCGGCATTGACCTTGGGAGAACCCGTGGAAGGAGGAGCGGCGGCGGAGGCCATTGTGTCGGTTGTTGGGGGGGAGAAAACGGGAAACAGAAGAAACCAGACAATGAATTAGAGGGGCGAGCGGAGAGAATTATCGTCACGACAGCACCGGGCAAGGGTATCGTGGCGGGATGGAGTTGAGAGTGGTTTATTCCTGGAGTAAGGAAAATTGAGAAGGAGACGAAAAAAAAAAATAACAGAAAAAGGGACAGGAGTAAGAAGAAGGAAGGCTGGGACGTCGAAGTACCTACGTGCTTTGAGACTTTTTTCGTCCTTCCCTTCCGTCCCCTGGCGGTTCTGGCAGATTGGTTAATTTTCGGTCTATGGATCCACTTAAAGATCCCGTCTAACTCTCCTATTGGCTGCATGTAAAAACCCTTGCCTGCTGGTCTCCCGTTGACCCACCCCTGGCTCGGGATTACTCGGGTATTCACTCTCCTTGAATGGCGAGGCTTTGGCGTTTTATTGGACGCTCGGAAAATCTTGCCCCTGTCTTCGAGTCAAAGTTTTACCGAAGCGTCCGGCTAACACGTCATATCGGTCTTATCGGGCACGAAGTTCGGACAAAGCCCGCTAGATCCGGAATTACTAATCAGCGGACTTCACGTCTTTCATGGTGCCAGAATTCGATATTTCTTCTTTTATATTATATAATTTATATAATATATCAGACACGACCTGATTTTCATATAATTTCGTTCTCTTTTATTGACTTCCCGATCATTCCATTCTCATTCCGACCCACTTCCTACCTCGGAGAGTCGACCAAGGTCTTAGTGGGCTGGTTAGCCCCTTATCCTGAATCCTTTACCGCAGTGTTCTTACTTGGCTTCGAACGGGTTTCTCTTACGATTCAGGATGTATACAAACTGTGTAGGATAGAAAGATGGTTTATCGGAAATCCTTGGGTGTGCGCTTCCATTCCCAGCTGTATGATGTATCCAAGAACAGCAAGTAGCCCCAAGACAAACCTCATATAAATGCTGTGTCATGAAGTGTATTACCAGTCAGGTATCTCCAATATATCGCCTCAACTCCGATATCCTTCCCTATTGATCCCCATAATCCAATGTGTCCTCCCTCCAGAGCCAACATGAACCGTTGGACAAGTGGTATCACATATGCCAGTGAACGCAAACCCCTTCCAAAAACCCAGACAAGATGCATCCTACCCAAGAGGACAACAACAGTCATAACGTTAACAACATAAGCACAATCATCATCATCTCTTTCATCAATATCGCTCATCTCCGGCCGCCACCAGAACCATTACCGCCGTCTATATCATCACCACCCATTCCCCCTCCGTTCATGTTACTACCATGATCGAACAGACCCAGGACATCGCCCGGCAGGTACTCGTACCACTGCGGTATCGTATTGCTGGACATGCCAAGCGAACCAATCTCGATCGGGTTATCAAAAGTAATCACGTCCCCAAGAGGTCCCATCCCTCCCTGGCCGACATAGGAATAGTTCGCTCCGGGGAAACTCGCGTCGTATATCCCCGTCGACGTCATGCCTCCCGCCACGGAGCCCTGCGCGGCATCACCCGCGAGTGCGTTCGATGACGCCGGCGTCGGGGGCTGTAGCATTGGTGCATCAAAGCCAGAGGTGTGCTGTGAAGGGGAAGGGTGGAAAGGCGCCGGGCGACCCTGAACCCGCGATCCGCGTGGCGAGTGTTGCAGCACAGCCGAAGTCGCGGCCTGGGCGTACGTCGTGGTGAACGGGGATTGAGAGCCGGCGTAACTCTGCCGCGTAGGGTCGTATGACATGGTTCCCGCGGGAGACGGTGACGACGGGCTTCCCAAGTTCGGCTGCAGGGGCGGAGCAGGAGCCATGGACGGGTTCGGGTTCGCGTGCGACCTGCTGCCAGGCTGCATGTTCTGATACATCAGCGTCAGATTTGAATTGGGCGAATTGGTCGTGCCGGCCAGGGACCACGCAAACGGCGGTAGGTTGGGCGACGCCGGGTTCATCTCGAAATGCGGCGGCGGGAGGTGGCCGAAGGAGGACTCCCGACGCGGCGTGGTCTTGGTGCTCTCGTATTCTTCGTGCGTGTACGTCTCGCAATCCCATATGCCTTTGGATTTCTGGTCGAGTGCTGTCAGGATGTACTTGGCGCCGCCCCAATAGGTGCAGAGTTGCTTCAAGGAGCTGTAGCACCGGGCGTAGTTCTGGTTCGCCGCCGAGGCGAGCAGCGAGTGTTTCGTTGACGACGCCTTGGCCTGGCTCGCACTCGCCGCCGTAGCAGCAGCATCATCGCCCGGCCAGGGCCTAGGCCTAGTACGACGATCATCCCTGTCCGGCGAGGGCCCACGGGATGCGGGCTGCGACGCCATGGCCGCCGATTCCATCAAGAAAGCGCAGGCGGCGATGTACATGGGCTGCGAGGTAAAAGGGTTCCCGATGAAGCTCGTCGGGCCGATCAGTTCGGCAAACGAAAGTATGTCGGCGATGGTTTTCGCGCTCGACATGGACAGCTCGCGACTGTTGGGCAGCAGCTGGTGGGAGCGATTCAGGGAGCCAAAGGGGGTCAGCAGGGTGGGCTGGTGGAGGATGATGACGAGGGCGTGGAACCAGAAATGGAGCAGGATGAAGGTGGTGCCCTGGCCGGCGCCCAGGTAGAACTTGAAGTTGGTCACGTTGAAATGCAGCCGGTCATCCTGGTTCTGGTACAGCCGGGTGAGCTCGTGTTCCATGAGCGACAGCTTGTTCCACTTGTCTTTGGTCAAGTCTTTGGCGTCGTGGATGTTGTTGAGCACATCCGAGACCCGGCCATAGAGGTGGACGATGCGCAGAAAGCTGGGGAAGGGAGCGGGCCATCCCGAAAACGGATCGACCGCGGGAGGAGGGAGGTTAAATTCAAAGTCGTCGTCGCGAAAGGTCACAGGTCGGCCGGTGCCGGAGGAGATGACGCGGTCCAGCATGAAGACGGCCCAGAAGGTGTCGAGGCGCTCCTGCTCGACCTCCACCTGCTCCTCACGAGTGAGGGAGCCCTCGCGATGTGGTGAGTCGTGGAGACCGGCGTCGGCGTCGGTGTTGGCGTCGGCGTCGGCAGTGGTGTTCTCGCCCTCGACCTTGCGGAGCCCGTGGCGGACGTACCAGGGGTCTTTCTCCCCTTGATACCTGACACCCACCATGGTATGCAGCCCCAGATCCACTGCCATGCGGATAGCCAGACCGAGGTACATCCACAGGGCGCTATCCTGGTCGGCGCCGAAACCCTCATAGGCCATCATCAGCATGGCCTGCACAGCCCCCACCGAAGGGACGGCAAAAGTGTCGACGGTGGCTGCCTTGGCACGCTGGGCGTACTGCTGGCCGTACTCGGACCTCGCCAGTTTAACGTCTCGGGTAAACTGGGGGGCATCGGAGAATCGAGCCGAGAGGGCACAGACGGCGTCGACGAGGATCGGTTCGACGTTCTTTTCCCGGACCATGCGGGTGAACCTCTCCTCCTTGAGGAAAGGATAACTGGAACCCAAGTGGACGAAGAAGAGCCTTAGAAGGTGGAGGGTGAAAGGTGAAACGGGGGCAGGATCGCTGACGTCGTAAAAGGGGAGATCTTCGCTGATGCATGTCCCGTCGCTGTCGGCCAGAGAAACAGTCCCCAACGTCTGACCAGGAAGTATACCTACATGTGGACTCCCCGAGCTTGGGGAGCTGCCCGTGCAAGAAGCGGAGCCGGCACCTGCACTCCGTCTCCTGTCCCTCACAGCGACGACCATCTGCTTGTAGCCGGGAACGATAGCGGTAGGGCCAAAGTAGCGGAAGTAGGGAACTCTGTGGCTCTCTAGTCTTTCCCTGTGGAGTAGGATGGGAGATCGGCTGCTGGTGCTTTGGTTGTCCGCCGTCGACGGGGTTCGGTTGCGGTCCTGGCCATATTCCTGCCAGTCTTCCCGTTTCTGTTGTTGCTGTTCTTGTTGGTGATGCTGGCGTAGAGGTTGAGGTTGGGACTGCAACGACGGATCTCTCGTCTCATGGACCGTCGACAGGTGCCGCCGTCGTATGGCGTCGGGAGAAAGCGTATTGGCGTCATTTGGACGAGGTTTCTTCGTATTAATATTGTTCACATTATCGGGGACGAATTTCGCTGGGCTCTCGCTCGGCTTCCAACGACCCTTGTGATCCTCATCGCCTTCTCCTTCCTTATATACCTCCTCTTCCCCCTCGTACTGCTCCTCGTCCTCGGGGGCGGTCTGTGTTCCCTTTCCACCGTTGTTGCCGGGCCCGTTGACCATCGGTTTCTTTTCGGAGCATTCGGGATAGCCCAGGCATTCGTGGCCGTTCTTCGTACAGGTCGAGCAAGCAGGACGCTCGCCTGCGCACTTTGTCTTTCGCTTGCGGCAGGTCAAGCAACTGTGGGATGGGATGTATCCAAGTTAGTCCGAGATGTTCGAAAAAGCTTCTAGTCGAGAGTAGAGGCTCTACTCACGCAGCATTAATCCTCCGCCTTTTGGAGGGAGGTTGTCCTTGACTGTGTACGAAGCGAATCTGCTTCGGTGGGGCCGGCGCTGCGCTCATATCGGCGACAGCTCTCCCATTGCCACCCACCTTTGGTTCACGGTATGGTCGATACCCTAACCTGAATAACCTGAATATCGGTATCGGTGTCGCGCCTAAGCGAAGGGCGATAGGCAAAGGGCCAAGGGGGGGTGGTTAAGGGCTAATAGTTGATGGTCGACGTTCGGCGGTCGGTGGTTGAGTTGATGCGACAACGAGAGGGTTGAACGACGAAGAATCAATTTGGATTCAAGATTCTGCACGCTGACGATCCATTCTCCCTGTCTGTCGCCATCCCACCAACTCTCCACAAACAGGGCATATAGCCTGTGATAGGAGAAGATCTGCCGCCCAGCCTTGTCCTGGGGCCTGGCAATTTACGGGGGCTTCTGACTGGTGCTTACTGTAGGAGTGCCGCTGAGCCAACGGGAGGGGACGAAACAAAATAAAAAACGAGTTGTGGGGGTGGAAGTCTCCGTGAAAGGAGGAAGAAACAGTCAGGTGCCTACAACGTATACACAGTATATCCTGAAGAGAATCACGGAGAGTTTGGCGGAGAGGTCACACCAGCCATACACAGGAAAATACAGTGTGACACGGTATGTGTATACCGTATGCCCCCCACTCTAAAACCGATTGGTGGAATTCACCGGTTATTGGGGCGGGGACGAGTAATTACCAGGTGTCGTGGACAGTGCTTTACGCATACCCACTGTATCTGCGGGGAAAGGTCCCATTCCCAGAGCCCGACAGTTGGGGTAAGCCCTGCTAACTGGCCCCCATACAGATGCTCAAATGGATACTCAGGAATACTTGGTCAAGTAGGTATATAAAGAGGCAGACAGTCTCTAATAAGATGCCAACTTGCCTCTTGGCAGATACCATGCTCTGGCAACTTGTTTCCCCCGGTCTTGGCCTTCCTGTGCCCCGAGTCTGCGATTCTTGATGGATCGAAAGGCGCGAAGACAGCTGAGTCTCCAGCCAGACATTGGACTTTAACTTACTTGGGAGTCTCTGAATGGAAGACATCGGTATAAAAGACTCCGATTTCTGTCATTGGTATGAACAAGTAACTGCCTACTACTACAGATTATCATGACTATCCCAGAACGTGCCAATCCAAATCCGTATATCTTCATGTTGCGCCATCCATGGTGTTAGTCCCCAGACTCCACCCAAAGCAAAATAGAAAGGTTTGACCGTACATGCATTTGGGCATATTCTCCTCCAAGTTCCTGGTTTCACAAGAATCAAAGTCACCTACAGTAACACCACTCTCACCCGAACATGTAGGATCCTCGTCAACCCTCCGAGTCTTCGTCCATATATTTCTGCCCATCATCATTCACGCTTTTGTTCCTCTCACCCAGCCTTAAGCACCTCCGACATTCTCCACAAACCCAAGAGTTTTCAGTCTGCTTAACAAGACACCAGACACACATCCCGTTGTCTTTCCGAGTGTCTTCCCGAGTGACTTTCCGAGTGCGCGACAACGCAAGGACCTTGGTGCAACGTGCACAGTAAGGCCGGCTTCCCCTTACCCGCGTAGTAAAGCAGAGGGCACATGAGAAGAACTTTCTCGGGGGTCTTTCACCAGGCCAAATTATCTCTGTTGATTCGGGTTCGTCGTGGGTAGGACCAGAGCTTGAGCTTGTTTGGTGGGAAGTTGCGCCCACAAAGGCAGTCCAGCCATTGATCTTCTTGATTTTGAGGTGTTGATTTGACTGATCTGAATGTGAACTCGACAAGTCCGATACTTCTTCGTCTTCTTGAGCGTTGGCCGGTGGTGAAGATGGATGGTCTTGATAAGAGTGTTCCTGAAGGAGAACAAAGGTCTGCGTACACCCGCGGATTTTGCACCGGTCATACCTTCCATTCCTGACCGTATAAATGTTTGAGAGGCTTAGATATTAGGCTACGGCGGAAATACAGCAAAGAAACCCATCTTTTTTGAGCCCATATGTCGCGTCCCGTAAGGTACCTGAGGTCGTCCAGGAACCGGCAGGTACGTGACGGTTCCCCGGGTCCAATCACATCACTGGCGTTGCCCATTTAGAGTAGGTGGGCGGCATAAGCCCCGGGCCAACATGTTTTGATTCGGGGACCTCAAGAAGTGGGTCACTAAGGCTAAGTTCGTACCAGCCCAGGTACCGCACCAAATTGGTACAAGGTACAATACTTGAAGAGCAGGCATGTACAGTTGCCAAGACAAATACTATCGTCAGTACAGTTAATTATTGTGGAAATAAGCATCAATAAGTACAACGTATGTTATGCCGTAGTTCTCCCAGAGCAGAATATCAGATTGCTCTATCGCATCGGCAGTTGTTGTGAGGAGAGCCATTGGTGGTTTATTTTGGTGACTTGGGGAATCCGTACCTGTACCTGTGTCATGTACCCGCTTTTCCATGTCCCATAACAAAATCTTGATGGCCTCGCAGTGCGGTCCGTTCTATGTTCTCGCTGCCCTTTTGCTTCTTTTTGGTTGTTGTTCTTGTAGGTCACTTGGCGAATGGTTACTGTGTTTCCCCTCAAGCTACGCGTTATCATAATTTATTTTCCCTGGTCACAGCAAATAGACGCTTGATGAACGAGACAATGTTGCTATTAACTCAAGACTCCAAGTTGCCAACCTGAATACAAGAGGATATCTGCCTGCTATACCACCATCTCCTTAACTCTGCCACAGCAAATGACAGAAAGTGAGCAGAAATGGAAGAGAACGCGAACGCCAACAGAAACATTCGCTAACAGCGGAATAAGAGTAGACAGTGGAAAAGCATGACCCGACCTCTACAAGCGAAAACAAAAACCAATAGCAAAACAACGAAAAACAAGACTCGCTGACCAAAGACAGAAGAAGTCGACAAGAGCAAACCTCCAAAGTATCAATCAATCCCTCCCAAGCAAGAAATAAATAACGCCCCTTTTCAAACTTCCTGACACTCAAGACCATACACCCGAATGAGAACGGCTCAGCTGTCCCAGATGGCACCATAGGCAGAGACTCCCCGCGTCTCAAGGCCATAAACAACCTTCTTGGTAATCTTCTCATTCGCAATAATGATTACCGCCTCCGCCTTGATGCTCTTGGCCAGGTTATACCCCATCCTGACCAAGTCCGGCCGGCCCAGCGCCTTGGTATCGTGGATCACCGCGTCGGGGCTGTGCCGGCGAATCGTGGCCACAAACTTCTCGCCGAACGTCACCTCGGGCCGCGGCGTCGACCAGATGAGCCGCATCTCGCACGAAGGGTCCTGGATGTGGCCCAGCATGGGCCCGATGCCCGATCCTGTCGCGATGAGCACCACGCGGTTGAACAGCGTCAGGATCCGCATCACCCCGCACACCGGCACGCCTCGCACCCAGACGTGCGAGGGCGGTTTCTCGATGCACGCCTTGGTCCAGTCGCCCGCGGCCGAGACCACGAGGGAGTACCCTTTCGGCCGGCCGTGAACGGCCTCGGGCGCGGGGATGGTGGCGAACGAGTGCCACTCGAGCAAGGGGCGGTGCGACAGCCGCATGAACGACCCGTTGACGGGGACCGTGTAGTCGAAGTGCAGCCGGACCGCGTGGTTGGACAGGACCTCGGCGTCCACGGGGACCTTGCGCAGGAAGAACCAGGAGGAGGCGATGCTCAGCGTCGCCACGACCAGCAGCCAGAAAGGCGGGGAGCGGATGCAGGCAGCACCGAGCCGCAGGTCGCCGCGCGTGTCGTTGGCCGCGAGGACGACCTGGACCCAGAAGAGGCCGAGCATGGTCCAGCCGACGAATCGGTGCGTCTTCTCGAACAGGTTGTGGTAGTGTTTCCGGATAGACGGGTAGGCGAGAGCAAACATGACCACGAAGAGACCCGACAACATCCAGGATATCACCTTGGCCGCCAGGGACGCCTTGTCCCAGCCGTTGGCGTTGCACTGCGTGAACAGACAGACTTCATCGCTGACGTTGGCGGCGAGGAGCCAGAGACCGGCACAAACGGCAGCGCCCGAATGCACGCCCCCGAGATGGTAGATCTTGGCGCAGCGCTTCCGGATGAAAAGGGGCCAGGATGTCGGTACGCTGCAGGTAATGGTGTAGAGCGCGTTGATCACAAAGTCTTGCCGTATCAGCACGGCCGTGACCAAGTTGATGGCAGTGAGCGTGCTGAGCCACTCCCGCTGGACGCCGGTGAGCACGAGAGCCACGGCAGCCGCGATGTTGAAGAGGCCGACCAGCGTGAAGAGCCGACGGTAAACGATGAGCACCCGGTGCCAGAGGCCGCGGAAAGGTTGGCGGCGCTTCTTGTCGGGGATATCGTCATCGAGATCGACCTTCTCCGTCATGCTCGAGGCGGAAGAATCGACCTCGGCGACGCTCGAGGCCGAGGAGTCGACTTCGGTCATGCTGGAGGCCGACGACTCAGCCCGATCACGCGTCTTCTCCACCATCGTGATCTTGGAGTGGATAGATTTCGCGGAGGCCTTCTCGCAGATGGTGGCCGTGTCATCCTGAGCCGGCACCGCAGCAATCTCCTTCAGCGCCTTCTTGTCGATTTTCCCGTTGGGCGTGAGAGGCAACGCCGCGAGTCGGTGGAACTCGCTCGGCACAGCGTAGTACGGCTGCCGGCCCTTGACATGTTCCCTGAGAACATCGAGGTCGCAGTGTTCAGGGGTAACAAAGCCGTGGATGGCGTCGCCGATTAGGAGGGCCGCGGCACGGCCGACGGCGGGGCAAGAGTTCATCGACGCAGTCACGCCATCCAGCTCAACCCGGAAGCCCTGGTACAATGAGCAAGTGTGAGTGAGAGGGAGAGGATAGAGGAGTTCCATTACAACCCAACCACGTACCTTGATCTTGATCTGGTCATCTGCACGACCGAGGATGTCGATGGTACCATCGGGCATCCAGCGGCAGAGATCACCGGTGTTGTACATCATAGAGCTGTGCAGCGTGTCAGCTACATGGCCTCGGGTCTGCATGACGGAATCCCTTTTCTCTAATACTCACCCATCGTTTTTGAATGGATCAGGCAGGTATTTCTCCGCCGTCTTCTCCGGCAGCTTGACATAACCACGAGTCACACCGAGGCCCCCGGCCCACATGACGCCCGGCTCACCGACGGCCACAGGGACGCCGTCCTCGCTAAGGATATAGACGTTGTTGTTCGGCGTGGGTTTCCCGATCGACAGGGGTTGTCCAGGAACATGCGGGTGCATGGTGTTGACAATGGTGGTCTCAGTCGGACCGCAGCAGTTGTAGTACGTGCCATGCGTGGCCCAGGTGTCGGCAAGCCTGATAGAAGCACACCCGTCGTCAGTTCCCACGAATCAAATGGGAGCACAAGGAAGATGAGAACAAGAGATTGGGAACAGAATGGCACGTACCTTTGAGAGCTTGGCTCTCCTGCAGTAGCGACGGTCCTGATGCTAGGATAGTCTTGAGGATTGTACTTGGCCAGAATGCTGGGGGTGCAAATCAAAACGTCCATCTATCGCCGGTCCTCGGTTAGATACTGTGTGTCCCACCATCTCCTGGGTGGGGGGAAGAGATCGATACTCACCTGCTGAAGAGCTTCGGCCCAGTTGGAGCCTCGCAGGATTAAAGTGCCTCCGTTGCAGAGACTGCCAAGCATCTCCCAGGCGGCTATCATGGACATATCGTCAGTGACGGAACAAATTTGACCGAAAGGGGTAGGGTCGGCAAAGCAACGGGATCAGCACTCACCCATATCAAAGCTGATGTTAAGGATCTGGCCAACCCGACTGCCACTAGTGATTCCAAGATTGCCGGGTGAGAGACAGATCAGGTTGGTAACGTTACGGTGCGTAACGTCGACACCCTTGGGTGTGCCCGTGGTGCCTGTAAGGATAAACCGTCAGCGCCGTCAACCCCTCGTTTCTTTTCCCACTCTTTCACTCCACTATAGGGGGTTGGGGCATTCGCTACTTACCCGACGTGTAAATAATATAGCAGCCATTATCTGGAGTCGCCAGGTTCTGCGGAGTAGTGTGCATTTCAGGAAGATCCTGCTCAACGCCCTCTGGCTCGTCAATGGCCAAGACATTGCGCACACCCGTGTCTAGCAACCGGTGACGAGTGGACCTCAGGGCCAAGACAGTGTGTCCGCCGGCTTGTTCCAGAGCGAAACGCAGCGATGAGTCTGGAACAACGCCGCCGTCGAGTGGAACATACTGCGCGCCGCACGTGAGGATGGCCACAATGCCGACCAGCATGTCGATGCCCCTCTTGACGACCAGGGGCACCCGATCGCCCGGGACGACGCCAAGCTGCCGCAGCCTATGCGAGAGCCGCGCACTGCGGCGCGCCAGATCGCTGTACGTGATCTCGCGCGGGGGCCGGGCCGAGAGATCCCGCGCCGCCACGACATCTGGGTGGGCTGTCGCTTGATGGAAGAAGGCTGCTGTGACGGTGTCGAACTTTGGGTGCGCCTGAGGGCCGAAGACGAAGGAGTCGGGAGGCATGACCCTTCCTGTGGAGGTGTTCCTCACCGAGGAGGCCGGCTCCATGGTAGGTAGATGATTGAGAAGGGGTTAAAGATGGGGG